GATTTCAGTTTTATAACTGTTAGTTCCACTAAAGTTATTGGTAGCCTTCTGTGAGTCAATATCTTGCGAGGTACTGGGAGACAATTTTTCTTGTCTGAAGGTATATTACAAGTGCACACAATAATAAATGCCTTATCTGTAAGGGGCCTCCACGGCCTGTTACAGGGATAGCTTTACCTTTTATTTTTTATGGTGATTTTGCTTTGAGCAGTGTGATAATAGTCAGTGTCATTGCCACACATTTATGATTTGCCCCCCCCCTCAAAAAAAAATTACTTAAAATCAATATTATAAACCTTGGTACTTTAACATCAATGATTTTGTTAGAGTTAGTGTGGTTTGTGATACAAAAGAAATATATAAGAATGGCTTAGATAGGTGCATGTCATGTTTAACTGCATTTGATAGATGTCTCTGTGTAATTCTGCATGCATTTGTATTGTCAAGAGTGTCGTGACTTTTCTCATTCTGTCCAGACAAATGTGATACAGGGTCCTGATATTCTTGGTTGCCTAAAGAATCAGAATGACAGTCTCTTGTATGATATTACAAGACTGAAGAGGCTTGAAATATTTGCAGCTTCTTATCCACTGTCCTGTCCAGTGCACAAAATTCACAGCCATTGGAGCTTCCATGAGCTTTGGAAAGAAAGATTGAAGCGTAAAACAGTATCTGTGCTTTTTTTGAATTGTTTCATTTTGGTCCGTTACACTATCAATCACTAATTGTCAATAGATTTTCCGTCAAGTGCAACAATATATATTTTGATCACTTAATTATAATTAAGTGATCAAAATATATATTGTTGCACTTGACGGAAAATCTATTGACAATTAGTGATTGATNTGTAGCATATGAGCAAAACTTGTGTCATTCATTGCAGGTTCCTAACTTTAGTATAATAGTAGATCTTTGAAAAAGTCACTGTTTCCATTGAGAACATTTTTTTTTAGATATGAAAAATGACTTGAGGAAAGAGATTTGTTTTTTGATTTTATGACAGTTGACAAAATATTATAACTATGAAAATGAAATTGGTATGGTGAGACATTGTTCATTCTTAATAATCTGAAATTGATTCAACTGCCTCCACAGCAAGCTCTCGGTTTGACATCACGTCCTTTATACCCCATTATTTACTTTGTGCTTTGTCTATTTAATGGTGCCTTCTGTAGCTCTGATTACATAGCTTCAATTATTACTCCTATTTTATTGTTTAGTGCTGTTTCAGTGTCACATGTTCGCCTGTACATTTCTTATCTTTGGGTGGGGGGGGGAGGAATTTGCAGTTTGTAATAGCAGCTGAAATTTCACGTTGAATCAGTAATTCTCTTACTGTGAAATTTGAAGGTAAGATTATAATATGACCATTTGAATGGTATCCTTGTTACTGTAGTTGCAAAAGCAGAACATTGGGCAGCACCAACACAGAGAGGCTTTAGAATCAAGAAGGGCATAAAAGTAATGCATGAAATGTAAATTTATTTATAGATATATTAAGTACAATTGTATGAATATTTTCCACACTCTCACATTCTCATCAGCCTCGTACCCTCTTTCTTCCTTTGAATATACGAAGACATACAGTTAGGAGTGCTACAGCAATGACAACTAGACCTAAAAGTGTGATGTGTTGGTTGAAAGAGAGTCTTACTGTCTTCGTAACAATCAGTCGCACTGTGCCAGTCAACTCTTTACCCTGCCAGCAGCTGAAAAGGTACAAAAAATAAGTGTACACCCTGTTCTACAAGGTTCTATCAGAAAGTTCCCAGACCAGGTCAAAAAGGAAATGCTGGCTTAACTTACTCAATTTTGGCTGCCATCTCCTTCGCAATAGTCTCCATGGTATGTAGGGATCCCATTGCTTTTTTTCATGCTTCAAAAGCACCATGGAAGTCATTTTTCATAATTCTGTCTAGCCCTGCTTGCTTTTCCCTTTGAATGTCAGAATGTTTCAAAATGTCAGTCCTTCAGTTTCATTTTCAATTTGGGAAACAAAGCATTGCACATTTTCTGTCAAGCGTCTCAAAACATCACAGTAAAAGTCGAGAGTTGACTGTAGTGTTAGGAGGAAAAAATTCACGGTGAACAATCCCCTCCTCATCAAACAATCAGCATGCTCTTTGTTGAACTCCGGACCTGCTGTGCCTTTTTGCTCTTGGAGATTGTGGACTCTTCCACTGGTTACAATTGTTGCTTTGTTTCTGTATCATAGCTGTAAATCCAAATTTCATCACCCGGTATGATCCTGGAGATAAAAGTTGGGTCCTATTTAACCTTCTCTCATAGCTCAAGACACACATTTGTGCGCCACTGCTTTTGTTCATTTGTCAAGAGTCTCGGAACAAACATCACAGCAATGCAGCGCATGTTCAAATTTTATTCTAAAATCTCCTGGGGAATTCCATAACTGATCACAGCAGTGTCTTTGAGCTCATGGATTGTTCATCGATGGTCTTTGTGGGTGAGTTTTCGAATTTTTTCAACATTTTCTGTCATTTTGCTCATGCTTAGTCGCCCTGAGCGTTTTGTTATCTTTAACTGACACTCAGCCAGCCTTGAAACTTGAATGCAATTCAAAATCAGCTGTCTTGCTTAAAGAATATTCTCCAGAAACCTCACAAAGCATTTCCAAGAGCTTCAGTAGTGGATTTACCAAGCTTCACGCAGAACTTAATGCAGACACTTTGCTCTATTTTGCCATCCATCGCAGACAAAATGAAACACGAAGTTGGAAAAGCATTCTTATAAAACAATGCATGTTCGCAGCTGGGGTGCTGCATGGCAGACTGATGCAGTAGGCTTGCCAAAGTGTGACTTTGGCCTCCCCTCTCACCTTCTTTTACCTAGTCAGTTACAACAATAACAGTCGGGAACTTTCTGACAGCACCTTGAATGTATGAAGCAAATTAACTGATTGGAAAATTTGATGTGTTATGTCAGTTTGTATTGAGCTGTTAGGCAGACCAGAAATATACGTACATAGAAAATAAGCACATTATGATAAATCAACAACACAGAATCACCATCACCTTCATATGATACCTAAGTGCTCTAGTTTAAAGGTCATTTCAGGAAAATATTGTACATTAATCTGTGCAGCTGCCTTTACTGTAGGTTACCTTGGACCTGTCTAGTGGTTAGTTTGGCAGTGAGGCTTGACAATCAAAGGGTAAAATAGGTTTAGCTTTGTACAAGTACAGAATGATATTCTTGACACAGGGGAGATAATTGGTGGCTAATGGGCCAGATTGAAATAATAAATCAACTCTAGTAATGTCATTTAACCCTTTACATGCTATAGGAATACATATACGTCCCTTTGCGTTTATATATTCCAAATTAGCTGAAAATATTCAACTCTGAAGGGATTAAAATCTCTTGAAAGAGCCATTGGTGGGATGTAAACACTGTTCAAGGCTTTGAGTAGACATACGTGTTGTAATTTTTTTATCCAAGATTTTTGTGTTTTAGGCTAGAAGAAACTGGATAAAGTGAAGCATTTTAGTAACTTAGGTTGTGTGAAGATGTGAATTTGAAATTGAGGTAATGAAAATTACAGACATTGAAGGTGACAAGAAATAATTAACATTTTTTATAATTATTTAATTGCTACTCTTTTATAATTCATAAAGCTTGCATTGTGTTGTTTACAAGACGCAGCAAATAACTGAACTGATATTTCTGCACAGCAGCAGCTGAATTGGCATGCATTGGATTACTTGACTGCTCTGTTCAGCAGTTTGTGTGTCAAACATATATTGGATTCAGTTTGTTTTGTTGTTGCTGTGTTTTATTGGCATAGTTTTGATTTGTTTCTCAGAGATATCCCAGATAAATTGATAGAACAGAAAGTCAGCATTACTTTCTTGGGCAAATTGTATAAGATGCTACTGATAGTTACAAAATATAAGGTGGTTCAAATATGACCGGGACTGATTTGTTTGTAAACAAGCCGCACTGTGCAGCAGCTGTGCGACCTTGAGAGAGTGAAGCCACAACCTCCACCCTCCATCCTGTTCGGGTTAGAACCTGTTCAGTCCTGTCTGGGAGTTGCTAGAGTGATGAGTGAACAGAAGGTACTGCGGAGTGTGGAACAATGCATTGCGATCAAATTCCTCGGAGAAAATGTCCCATCCGCTGACATTCACCACAGACTCCAACAACAGTATGGGGAAGAGTGTCTCTCACGGACCCATGTGTTTGAGTAGTGTAAGTGCTTCAGAGAGGGCAGAAAGCATGTGGAGAATGAACCGCATGATTGTCGGCCGTGAACATCCATCACCGAGCCAAACATTGATCGTGCAGATGCACTTATTCGTGAGAATAGGCGCATCACTATCAAGGCACATGGAGCAGTGCTGTCCATCAGTGTTGGTAGTGTAGAAGGCATCATGAAATACCACCTGCACTATCGCAAGGTGAATGCACGGTGGGTACCAAGCACTTTGACAGACGTGAACAAAATGGTACGCATGCAAGCTGCCAGTAGTCTCCTACAGCAGTTTGAAGACGAAGGTGATGCATTTTTGAAGTCTATAGTGACCACCCATGAAATGTGGGTGCACTACTTCATTCCCGAGTCCCTGCAGTCATCATGCAAGTGGCAGCATACCAGTTCTCCCAAACCCAAGAGAGCGCGGAGGAGCCGTTCTGCAGGAAAAGTGATGGCAACGTTCTTCAGGGACTGGCAGGGGGTTATCCATGTAGACTTTCTGACAGATGCCAGAAGAGTCAATGCAGCTTATTACTCAGACCTCCTGGCAACAGACGTGAAAGAAAAGATCCGATCCAAGCGGAAGACAGGTGGAAAGCGGGTAGCCTTCCTTTAAGACAATGCACGCCCCCATATGGCCATAACAACAATGGAAACCCTCCGGAAATTGAAATGGAACCTTCTGACACATCCACTGTACAGTCCTGA